AAACATACTACTAGAAGGAAAATGCATTCACACTTATGACTTCTCTTCACCAAATACTCCACAACAAAATGGAGTGGTTGAATTCAAGTGAAAGCATGTGGAGAGATAATCACTGGGTAGTATCTGGTTGGTAAAATCTTAAGATCTTTAACATTAAGATTCGATATCATATGATTGCAATCTAAGAGTTCAAGGATCTTTTAACCATGAACAAAGAAGAGTTTCAAAGTTCTCTTGAGGCTCGTGATTAGAGAATGAAGGACAATAACATTGACAAAGCAAAGGCTGAAATTTCTTTGTAGGGCCATTTCATTGGAAAAAGATAAGAAGGTGAAGGGAAATGGTCCATGAATAGAGATAGAGGAAACTATCGAAACAATTGTGAAAGAGACTCCCAAAATTCTAACAATTCAAAATTCCAAAAAGGTAAAAGCAGTTGCAATAGAGGTAGTAGATCAAATAATTACAAAGGTAGAAACAATAGAGGAAGAGGACGAAGAAGGAAAGGTGATAATAGCAATGTCCAATTCTATATTCATTAAAAGCTTGAACATTTTTCTCGTGAATGTAATGCCAACAAGAATGGTCCATAAGAAGTTGAAGAAATGCTTTAAAGGCAAAATGATGATGAGAGCACACCATTGACGGTAATCATAGAATTAGAAAACAACACAGGAAAAGGCAGTTGTAATAGGTTCCAAGCAGAGCGTAACCAGTTACCACTAGTTAAAAATGTGATGGTGACTACGTGAGAAGACGCAAAATGCAGAGATCAATGGTATCTTGACTTCGAGTATTCAACTAACATGATGAGAAGGAAGGATTGATTTGTAAAAATCAATCAAGGGATGAGAAACAAAGTGAAAATCATAGATGACAACACACTAGCAGCAAAGGGGATTGGCGATGTATCTAATTCTTTGATTAAAGATGTGGTATATATATTTGGAATCAAGTGTAATATTTTAAGCATTGTTCAATTATTTGAAAGGAATTATAAGACTCACATAGAAAATAAAGCGCTAAAAGTTATAAATGCAAATGGAGTTTGATCCTAAAGGCCCCTATGGCTCAGAACAAAACTTTCAAGGTTGAGCTGAAAATAATGGACTGTAGGTGTCTTGCAACTGCAACCAGTAGGGAAGAATGGATATGACACTATAGGCTTGGGCTTTGAGTTTTAGAGGTCTCAATGTTATACAGAAAAAACAACATGGTTACGAGGTTTTCATTGATAATATGCAAACTGAACTATGTAAAGAATGTGTGCATGCCAAGCAACACATAAGCAACTTTAGCAAAGATGCAAGATGCAGAACCAAGTGTCATCTTGAGGTGGTGTATTCATATGTTTGTGGACTAATGCAAGTGGACTCAATGAAGGCAATAAGTACTTTGCCACTTTAATTGATGATTATATTAGAAAGTTATGGACTTACTTGATCAAAAGAAGAAATGAGGTGCTAGAAGTGTTCAAGTAGTTCAAATCCATGATAGAAAGACAAAGTGATCACAAACTAAATTTTTTAAAAACAGACGGTGAAGGTGAATATGTCTCAAACAATTTTAGGATATTTTGTGATCAAAAGGGCATTGTATTTGAGGTATGCCACCCCATACGCCTCAACAAAATGGAGTCTTCGAGAGGAAGAACCGATCAATTATTAACATGGTGAGAAACATGTTGAAAGGGAATCACTCACCAAAAGAATTATGGGGAGAAGCAGTGTCCACAACTGCATACTTGTTGAATAGGTGTTTAATGAAGAAGTTGAAAAATACCCAAAGAATCACAATTCGAATTCAACCCAAATATGAGTTACTTTAGGGTGTTTGGTTCAGTGGCGCATAAACATGTTCTAGATTAGCTTAGCAAAAAGATAGATGACAAGGAAAAACAAATGATACTTGTTGGTTATCACTCTATGGGTGGTTACAAACCCTATGACGTGGTTAATAAGAGAATCGTAATTATTAAGGATGTGATTTTTTATAAATTAAGGGATTGGGCATGCAGTAACCAATTACTAGCCAATTGTAACTGGTTACCATAATGTTGAAACTGTTCGTGCAGTATTTGAAGGGCTAAAATTATAGTCATTAAATTCCAAGTTGAAGAAAATATGAGAAGATCAACAAGGCAAATATGCATGCCTGTGAGATTGCAAGATTGTGAGTTGATCCCGGATAATGAAGTAAATGCTAATGGTGATCTTGTCCATTTCGCACTAATGGATGAATCTGAATTGGTAAAAATGGAGGAGGCCTTGAGTGATCTAAAATGGATATTGCAATGAAGGAGGAGCTTGAAGTCAATTAAGAAAAATAAGACATGGGAACTAGTTGATCTACCTCAAGGAAAGAAGCCAATTTGTGTAAGATGGGTGTACAAAGTGAAGGTAAATCTCAAAGGTGAAGGCATCAAGCACAATGCTAGATTAGTGGAAAAAGAATTTTTGCATAGAGAAGGCATTGACTTTGAAGAAGTATTTCCACTGATACCTAGGATTGAAACCATAACGCTAGTGGTTGGAATTACGAATAACAACAATTGGCCAATATGTCAAATGGATATCAAATATGCATTTTTGAATAGTCCATTGGAAGAGGAAGTGTATGTGGCATAACCACCTTGGTTTTATTGTGAAAAATTAGGACCATATTTTTATAGATTGAGGAAGACATTGTATGAGATGAAGCAAACACCAAGAGCTTGAAACAAGAGAATCAATGAGTTTCTAAAAGATATTAGATTTGATAAATGTGTATCCGAACATGTTTTGTATGTGAAGAAGGATACAAATAAAAGAGGGATCATCTTATGTCTCTAAGTCGATGATTTACTAATTACAGGCAACAATGAATGTTACATTACCAAATTCATGGTTGATTTGATAAAGGAGTTTGAGATGACTAACCTTGGTCTGATGACATATTTCTTTGGCATTGAGTTTCATAAGTCTAAAAAAGGAGTGCTCATGCATCAAAGGAGGTATGCACTTGAGATATTGAAAAAGTTTGAACATGGTTGATGAATTTGATGAAGGAGTTGTGCAACGAAGAGTATGAAGCTATAACATTAATGATATATTATATTTCTACTATAAACCATCTCAAGAATCTCATTGCACATGAGAGAAATAAATATATAGAGATGATATTTCACTACTTGAGAGAGCTTTTGAGTGATGAAAAATTGAAGTTGGGGAATTGCAAAAGTGAAGATCAAGTGACCAATTTGTTAACTAAAAGAGCGTCATTGTTGAAGAAAAAAATAGCTCAAGTAAGGTGTAACCGATTATAGATATTGTATATTCGGTTACCACCTTGTTCAATAACAAAAGAATCAAACGGATGCGATGAAGTATTCACACATGTACTATTAGTATAGATGTCATTAATGTTGTAAAGAAAATGAGAAAATTAATAAACTATACAACGTGCGGTCACATTGATAATATAGATGGACCCCCTCATGCTAATAGACGACGTTGACATCTCATCTACTCCATACAATGAAGACTTTTCATTAATGATAAATAATCTCTTTTGGCCAATAGAAATTTTGCTACCTCTACTATATAATTGATCTATCCAAACTTGGTGGCTATATTCAATTATAAATCACCAAATAACCATCCTCACTACCATCATTCAAATAACCAATATTTTTTTAAGTTGACTCACTCCAACATTGACTAGTTTCCATTAGAACTTGTAACAAAAATTAATTTCTAGATTTTGTTTCACAGTTGGAAAACCGTTTTTTTTCTTTCTGTTTAATACTAACAAATATATAATGTGATTGAACTTGAACAACTAACAATAGTTTAATTTCAAAAGTTGCAAGAACTTTTACAATAATTCTTGCAAATTTGAAAAGTTATAAGTAATTATTCAGCATAACTCCTACTTCCTTCAAAATGAGTTTTGGAATCTATTTTTTCCCTCAACTTTTACAAGCTATAACAATTCAACAATGATTTTTGGTGCGCTTAACGTAAATAATATAAATGCTATACATTTTTAAAATTTTTATCCTTATTTAGTTCACCGTAAAGAAATATTATACATATATTTAATTAAATTATTTTAAAATATTAAATTATAATATTATTTTAAAAATAGAAATGTGATGTACTGTAATATACGTCGTTAATTGATAGTGTATACACTGTCTGTGTATATTTTTTTCTTCTCATTTTTATCATTTTTTAAACGAAATGCTAATAATAATTAAAATTTTATATAGATGGATATTAAAGTTTGAATTTGTTGATAATATTTAATTTAGTCATGTTAATTTTTTTTTTAAATATAAAAAAATAAATTTAATGATTTTATTGGTTTTGTTAAATACCTTTAAAAATTCAATCATGTAAATTAATTTTTTAAAAACATTATATAAAAATTGAGTTATAATAAAAATAAAAATTGGGTCAATTGATAAAAAATCAATTCACATTTCCATAATTTTTGTCTTCTAATTCTTAACATAATTAGCATAATTTCTTCAAATCTTTAATTTTGTTAAAACAATTTATAATGAAAAAAATTAATTTAAAATTAAAAATCATACCAAATAATTTAAGAAAATGCATTAACTTTTGTCCTATATATCTTGTATTCATATGATTAAATAAAAAAATAACCACCCACCCAGCGCTAAACCATTTACATTTCAAAGCGGAAACTTCTTTGTTTTCTTCTTCATACATAGACACTGAAACCGTTTTTCTGAATTATATTTCAAATTTTCTGACCAAATATTCAAAATCTCTCTTTCCATTTATATTTATAAATAAAATAAAAAAATCTCATTCTAGAAGATTACTAGTTTGGAGTCATTTCAAAGGTAACAGAGCAATTCCATTTCATAATTTCTCAATAATTTATACTTTTATTTTCTTTCAATTCCTGTTTGTGATAAATTCTCAGTCACATTCACTTTATTTTCTGTTCATAAACAATTTTCAGATTTTGCAGACTCTGCAAAATTCATGGCGTTGGGGAGTTTCTTGTCTTTTGCTAGATTTTGGACATTCTTTCCGGTTTATTCTACTTCTCTCTATTTCTATTTCCTTTTAATTTCCTTTTATCAACAAATTCATGAAAACATAACTGCAAAAACTTGCCCTAAGTGTTCATTTTGTTCATAATATTCATATTTATTGAGTGTTAATTATGATTTATAGAAATAAAAATTGGATTTTATATTTTGGTTAGTTGGTTAGTTAATTTTCTTTTTTCAAGTAGAAATGTAATTTTGTGTTAAAAAAAATTTATAGTGTCATCCAAAGAGTACGGTGTATTATGCTAAATCACGCTGATATTTTGAAGTTAGTGATATGACATGACTTTGTAATAATTTTTTATTGGAAGATAAGTGTGAACTTTTAAGCCGTCAGTGCATGTCAGTTAAACTCAAATGTTTTTGTTGGTTGTTTTGTTGAAGCAGGGAGGGAGACAGATTGATCCTACTGCACATACAATAAAGTCTCATGGAGCCACACTTGCTAGAAATCATATTCATGATTGGCTTATATTGGTGCTTCTTATACTAATTGAGGTTATTCTCAATGTAATTCATCCATTTCGCCGCTTCGTTGGAAGGGATATGATGGAAGATCTTATGTATCCAATGAAAGAAAACACTGTCCCTATATGGGCTGTTCCGGTAAAATCCATTACTCTGTGTTGCTTGCATATCAAGGAATCTTATTGTCTGTTTTTTAATCAGTATTGGGACACTTCAGTTTTTTGTTAGTTAGCTTTAGTTAGATAGATTTCTGTTTGTTATTTCAGTTTTTTGTTGATTGTTTATCTAAGATGTGTATATATAAGTAAAGTATATAACTGATGTATCGATATTTGTGGTTGAAATAAGTAAACTTTGCTTCATCAGAGAGATGTGGAACAAATGTGAAGGGTCTACTATGTTTGATTCCCACACATATTATGAATTAATTGTGTATTTTTATTGGGTGCAAGTCATTATGATTAATATTTTCTTTCTTTTCTCGATGATCAGCTTTATGCGGTTCTGTTGCCAATATCTGTGTTCCTGTTCGTCTATATGCGTAGGAGAGATGTTTATGATTTGCACCACAGTGTTCTCGGTAAATTTCGCAGTCGTGGATTGTTATATACATTAAATGATAGATTATGTTGAAGAGTTGGTAAGTATATTATTGTTAATGTACTTCGTTTTTACATAACAGGCCTCTTGTTTGCTGTTCTGATAACTGGGGTGTTGACTGATTCTATTAAAGATGCTGTTGGCCGGCCACGGCCAGACTTCTTTTGGCGTTGCTTTCCTGATGGAATACAGGTAATAGAAATTATGCAACTATGACATTAACTAACTTGATTGGTTTGTGCGTATGTTTTTTTCTTTCTTATTCTTTATTATTGTCATTGACTTGATGGTTTTGTTTATGATGAGGACATGAGCTTTCAGATGTTTCTACGAAAGTGGTCATTAACTCGTTGTTTGATTAAACTTATAGGTGTATGATGCATTGGGAGGTGTGATTTGCCATGGCAAGGCTAGTGATATAAAAGAAGGACATAAGAGTTTTCCAAGCGGCCATACTTCATGTGAGCAACCGTATTTTTCTTATTGTTAGTCAAATTGTATTTGGATTGACTACGAGTTTGGCAGAACTACATTGTACCGCCGTGATTTTGGAAAAAACTTACACTTTGGAGTTTTAACAAAAATCGCGGTGCTACCATGATTTTGTCAAATTCACTGTGATTTCAAACATACGATCATACATCACTTGAGTTAGTTTGAGCAATTGGAACTTACAATGCATTTTGATATTTAGATAGGTTGAATTTGATGGCTATTTTTCTTAGACATGGTTCTTTAGTCTGATAAATTTAGTTTCGCAGGGTCCTTTGCAGGTCTTGGTTTTCTCTCCTTGTATCTATCGGGGAAGGTTAAAGTTTTTGATCGCAAAGGGCACGTAGCAAAATTATGCATTGTGTTTTTTCCTCTACTTGCTGCCTGTCTGGTTGGAATCTCTAGAGTGGATGACTATTGGCACCATTGGCAAGATGTGTTTGCCGGAGGCCTTCTAGGTTTGATTCTTAAAATCATAAATCCTTTTAAAAAACAAGTTAAAAACGAAACTCATATTAGTACTCCTGTATTTTCTTTCAGGCCTTTTTGTCGCAACATTTTGCTATTCGCAGTTCTTTCCTCCTCCCTATAATGATGATGGTAACATCTCTATCTCTTGGTTTGCCAGCAGCATCTCAAATGTTGTTCATGTTCAATTATTTTATTTTAAGAATACTATGTCATTGTCTTGTCTCATTCTTTGGTTGTTGATTTGGTCTAAGGTTGTAATCTTAAAGAAATGTGCCCTGTCACATCTCATTGCTACACATATTAGATACTTGTCTTCACTCCAACCAAAGTTATTTATTCTCTAAGTTCTATTGTTGTTGTAATTTTGACTTTGGTTATTTTCAGGATGGGGTCCATATGCATACTTTGTGGCTATGGAGGAATCAAGAGGCAATGCAAATGTGAATCGAGAATCGCCCGCTGTACAAGCCATGGATGACAGGACAGTCGTGACTCGAGTGCCAAGGAGAAATGGTGACGCAGTCACCCCTTTCAGTTATCTCAGCCCAACCTTGGAAGCCATGGAAATGGGAGGGACACAAGTGAAGTCATGATGATCTTATAACTATCTTTTACACAAGTTCTCTCTCTAGCTAGCATAGTTTTTTCAATTATGCTTTTGTGCATAATTGAAAGTGAAAATGAGGTTTTCTACACGATAACTCTAGATTTACTACTATATTAATGAGAAAAATGGTGTCTTATTTTCTTTCGGATGATTAAAGATTATCAGATTTAGTTATCTTTTTACTTTTTTATTTAAATAAATTTGTAGTTTACCTTAGCTTAGTTGACTAAGTTAGTTAGAGTAGTTATAGTAGTTGTTTTTAGATTGATTTAGTTGCTTAGTTATTCTCTTTTTCAATTTTCTTTGATGGTTATATGAGACACTGCCATTTCCTTTGTAATCCATATGAATTCATTACAAATGATTATTCAAATAATATTATCTCTCTCAATGTGGTATTAGAAGAACTATAATAGTATCAATTCCACATTTCTTCATTATAAGGTTTTTAGTTGAGAAAGTTAGACAAGTTACTTAACGTAGACTTAATAGTATTAACCATACAAATCATATGTAATTAGAATATTTGATTTAGTGTTTATTTGTTACCTTGTTAGTAGCTTTTGTATTAAGTTTCCTTTATTCTAGGATCACAAATGATCCTCTATCTTGTGTATAAGTACATCATCGTGTAATGAGAATATACAACGTTCAAACCATTCAACTCATATTTTCTCACTTGGTATCAGAGCTTTAAGCTCTGAAAGCTCTTGATCCACTAAAATCCCAAAATGACAACCGTTGCAAACTCAAAGAAAAATGATCTACTAACATCAGCTTCTGTCAAGCTGGACAGAACTAATTTTCCCTTATGAAGATCACTAGTTTTACCTATCATTAAGGGTTGTAAACTAGATGGCTATATACTAGGAACAAAGGAATGTCCTCAAGAACTCATCATCACTGATGGTTCAAACAAAACCAAAAATCCAAGCTTTGAAGAATGGATAGCAGATGATCAAATGATGCTTGGGTGGTTATTGAATTCAATGACCACTGACATTGCAACACAGTTGATGCACTATGAAAGCTCCAAACAACTTTGGGATGACGCTCAAAGTTTGGCAGGTGCTCAATCCAGATCTCAGATCACATACCTGAAATCTGAATTTCATGGTACAAGAAAAGGAAATCTAAAAATGGAGGAGTATTTGACTAAGATGAAAAGGCTAACTGACCAACTTAAACTTGCAAGAAATACAGTCACAATCTCATATCTAATCATTCAAATCCTGAATGGTTTGGACTCTGACTACAACCCTATAGTAGTCAAACTCTCAGATCAACCATCACTCACTTGGGTTGATCTACAAGCTCAACTCTTAGCCTTTGAAAGCAGGCTCGATCAACTCAACAAACTCACAAGCATGTCTCCCAATGCTTCTGCAAGTGTAGCCAACAAAACTGAATACAGAGGCAGCAAGTTCAACCCAAACACACAGAATTCAAATTGGAGAGCTTCCAATTTCAGAAATCACAGAGGAGGCAGGGGAAGAGGAAGAATGTTCGGACCAACATGTCAAGTGTGCAACAAAACAGCTCATATAGCAATGAATTGCTTCCACAGGTTTGACAAATCATACTCAAACTCATCAACTGATGCAAACAAAAGTGATCCACACAGTGCATATCTAGCCTCACCTCACTATGCACAAGACTATGAGTGGTACTTTGACAGTGGTGCAAGCAATCACGTTGCACATCAAACTGACAAGTTTGAAAGTTTAACTGAACATGATGGTAAGAATACTCTTGTTGTTGGAAATGGTGATAAGCTGGATGTTATTGGAACTGGTTCATCCAATCTAAATTCACTTAAATTGCATAACATGCTATATGTACCAAACATTACCAAAAATCTGCTTAGTATATCAAAACTAACTTATGATAATAACATCACCGTTGAGTTTGATGTTGATTGTTGTTTTGTGAAGGACAAAATAACAGGGAAGACACTCCTAAGAGGGAGACTTAAAGATGGATTGTACCAACTCACAGAATCAGATAATAAGTCCAATGACCCATGTGCCTACATTTCAATCAAGGAAAGATGGTATAGAAAACTTGGACATCCCAACAATAAAGTGCTAGACAAAGTCTTGAAGAACTGCAAGATCAAGGCACCACCTAGTGATAGTGACCACCCTACCTTCTGTGAGGCCTGTCAGTTTGGGAAGATGCATATGTTACCATTTAAGTCGTCTAGCTCAAATGCCCTTGAGCCATTAGATTTGATTCACACTGATGTATGGGGTCCTTCCTCAATAAATTCCACCTCTGGTTTTAAATACTATGTCCATTTCATAGATGACTATAGCAGATTTACTTGGATCTTTCCCTTAAAACATAAATCTGAAACCATACATGCTTTCTCTCAATTTAAAAACTTGGTGGAAAATCAACTGAACAAAAAGATAAAGACCATCAAATGTGATGGTGGTGGTAAATTCAAATCAATTCAGAAACAAACATTAGAAGCAGGCATACAATTTAGAATGTCTTGTCCATACACATCCCAACAAAATGGTAGAGCTGAAAGAAAACATAAACATATTGCTGAGCTAGGCTTAACTCTACTTGCTCATGCCAAAATGCTAATGTCCTTTTGGTGGGATGCTTTCTCAACTGCAGTCTACTTGATCAACAAGCTGCCTTCAACAACAAATTTCGATGAAAGTCCCTACACCCTAATCACCAAAAGGGAACCTGACTATAAAGCCTTAAAACCTTTTGGATGTGCCTGTTATCCCTGTCTCAGACCATACAACAACTCTCACAAAGGCTATAAATGTCTCAACTCCCATGGAAGAGTTTTTATCTCAAGACATGTTATGTTCAATGAGAATCACTCCCCTTTTCATGATGGCTTCCTCAATACAAAAAGGCCAGTGAAAGAGATAAATAATACTGACCATTTACACAGTTTATTTCCTCTATGTCATGCAGGTAATGATAATCTGAGTCCAACAAATGAAACAGAAGCAACTGCAAATCAAGAAATTCCCACACCAGCTGCAAGTCAAGACAACAACTCACCAAGTACAAGTATTGATACTCAGCAACAAATCACTATTCAAGATGAAGGTGACTCAATAAATGTGGAGGGAAACAACATTGAAACAACCATGGCATCAAATGAAGACACTGTTGAAACAAGTAATAACATCAGTGATCAACATGAAGTGGTGGCAACTCACAAAATGCGCACTAGAAGCAAAACAGGGATTCATAAACCAAAGTTACCCTACATTGGCCTCACTGAATCAAAAATACAAGAAACTGAACCAAGAAATGTGAAGGAGGAACTCACTAGTCCACTTTGGAAGGAAGCAATGACTAATGAGTACAATGCTCTCATGTCCAATCACACATGGAATCTAGTACCATACACAGGCCAAGAAAATATCATTGACTCAAAATGGATCTTCAAAACCAAATACAAAGCAGATGGATCCATTGAAAGGAGAAAGGCGAGATTAATTGCTAAGGGTTTTCAATAAACAACTGGATTAAACTATGATGAAACATTCAGTCCTGTGGCAAAGGCTAGCACAATCAGAATTATCCTATCAGTAGCAGTTCATCTCAACAGGGACATCAGACAATTGGACATAAACAATGCATTTCTAAATGGCTACCTAAAAGAACACGTCTTTATGCATCAACCAGAGGGATTCCTCAACTCCACGCATCCAAATTACATCTGCAAACTTTCGAAAGCAATATATGGTCTGAAACAGGCACCAAGAGCATGGTATGACAGCCTCAAATATGCACTGCTAAGTTGGGGATTTCAGAACACCAAAAGTGACATTTCACTATTCTTTCTCAAAGGTACTGATCACACCACCTTTCTCCTCATTTATGTTGACGATATCATCATCACAGGTAGAAATAACAAATTTATGGAAGCTTTCATCAAACAGTTAAACACCGTGTTCTCATTAAAGGATCTTGGAAAATTACACTATTTTTTGGGAATTGAAGTACAAAGAAACAATAGTGGCTTGTACTTAAAGCAATCCAAATACATTAGAGACTTGCTCAAAAGATTTAACTTTGAAAAAGTCGCTGCTTGTCCGACACCAATGGTAAGTGGTAGACAATTTACCATTGAAGGGGAACCAATGAAAGATGCAACTTTATTCAGACAAGCCATGGGAGCACTGCAGTACCTAACCAACACAAGACCTGATATAGCTTTTTCTGTTAACAAATTAAGTCAGTACATGAGTTGTCCTACAATGGACCATTGGCAAGGCATAAAAAGAATATTCAGATATCTTCAAGGTACCATTGATCACTGCCTACATATTAAAACATCAACTGATCTAGACATCACAGGGTTCTCAGATGCAGATTGGGCAACAAGCATAGATGATAGAAAATCAATTGCAGGGCATTGTGTTTTCCTTGGTGAAAATCTAGTATCGTGGTCTTCAAGGAAGTAAAAGGTAGTGTCAAGATCATCAACTGAGTCAGAATATAGAGCATTGGCAGATTTGGCAGCTGAAATCACGTGGACATGCTCACTAATGCAGGAGTTAAAATTGCCCCAATTAAGAAAGCCTATTTTGTGGTGTGACAATTTGAGTGCCAAAGCTCTTGATTCAAATCCAGTGATGCATGCTAGAACCAAACACATTGAAATTGATGTGCATTATATCAAAGACAAAGTGCTGCAAAATGAAGTCACAATTGCCTATGTACCAACAACAGATCAAGTTGCAGACTGCCTCACTAAAGCCCTCACTCACTCAACATTCAATCTATTAAGAGACAAACTTGGAGTAATTGCATCACCCACAAGTTTGAGGGGGGGAGTTAGACAAGTCACTTAATGTAGACTTAATAGTATTAACCATACAAATCATATGTAATTAGAATATTTGATTTGGTGTTTATTTGTTACCTTATTAGTAGCTTTTGTATTAAGTTCCCTTTATTCTAGGATCACAAATGATCCTCTATCTTGTGTATAAGTAC